CTTCTAGTCAGGTCAGAGCAGAAAACTATTGGTAGAGGTATACGAAGCTACAAGTTCACCACAAGAAAATACTTTTCCAGTTCCTCTATTTCTTACAACCATGCACTGAGAAGTATCCTTCAGACACTTCCCATATTTCCCATATTCATCACATTTCCCTTCCTCAAGTTGAAAGGCTGCATCTCTGATTCAAACAAAACAAAACTGATGGCTAACTTTTTGGCACTTAATTGGTGATTAAAAAAAATAAAAGGCTGTTGTCACTGGATTTTTTTCTGCCTTTGCTCTTCATGTACTCCCAAGAAATACTTCCTTGCAAGTTGCTCCCTGCCTTCGTCAATAGGCGAAGTGCAGGCCTGTGCGGCCTTCCTGGACTTGGCCCCTTCGGCCCCCAACCCATTTAAACAGATATACTGCCTTCTGTGACACATTTTAGCAATTTAAGAAGCACTGGGACATTTGGGAAACAAAGACACCATTCAATAACATGGCAAGCCATGAAATTATATTGATACAATTAGTGACTGTATTTCATCTCACAAAACTGACTCGTGAAGTAAAATGACTACGGAAATTCACATTTCTGATCTGAAGAGTCTTCAAAAGTGTTACTGTAAGGTCAGTTAAATTTTTAAAAATTATTTTGGAAATTAAAATACCAGAAAAATAGAAGTGTTAATTTTCCCAGGAAAGCCTACAGTGTAGCAATGTAGTGCCACGCTACTGTCTAGAAGTGTAACAGTATACACTCGCTGAAGAATATGCAGTCCAAAAAAACTCAGAAAATAGAAGCAGCAGTTTGATTTCCATCTTTGTAAGAAGTTTTAATAACCAGAAATACAATCCTCACAACAACATATTTCTGAATTTTTTTTTTCCTCACTTACGAGTCTTTTGTTCATCAGATGAGAAGACTGATAAATTTTAACTGCTGCAAAACCATTCCTTAAAGCCAAGGAATCGCAGATATTTTTGAAATCCCTTTGTATTAATTCTAGCACTTATGACGGTTACTGGGAAGGAGAGAGTGCTGTTAACATTATTATTTTTTTAAGGTATTTTGTTTCTTTTAAGGAGTGCTACTGTTATAATTAATACTCCAGTAACATTTCCTTTAGGAAATGTCTCACAAGCACAAGGCAGGCTGCTGGGCTTGCTCCTTGCGGGTCTCAATCCCATGAGACATTTAGGTTCACGCCTAATTCTAATCAAACAAGTAGTCCCACTATAATATACAGAATATTTCCTTACTTAATTATAGGCAACGGCTTTGGTAACCTGCTAAATAAGGGCCTTTGCAATTTTGAATTATAATTTTGAATTATCCTGCAATAGAAGTCACAACAGAAAAATCGAGGAAACAAACAGGAAAAAGCCCAACAAATTAACAAACAAAATTTTTTCATAATGCATCTTGCTTTGGTAAGTTTAATTTGAATTCTTCTAAATGACTGGAGTCTTCCCCTTGCTGGTTCTACAAACTGTTACCTCTGCTGCATTCTCACAAATGAGTTAGATTTAAAAGAAATAAAACTGAAATAATCTTCCTCTGCCTTCTGAACGGAAGTGTCTTTACTAGAATACAGACTTTTTTTTCCCCCAGAAAACAATGGCTTTCTCCTAAGACACCAACTGTATGTGAATCAAAACCAGCCAGGAGGTAGCAAGTTCAGAAGAAATAAGTTCAAAACGCATTACTCCCCTTTCAATCCATTCCCAGTAGTTCCCAAATGCATTTTTTTACAGCTACAAAAATACATGTGCTTTATAAACAGGAACAATGACTGGCAAGCCCAGAGGAAGAAAGAGGCTCTCTAATCTCTCCTTAGGCAGTATAAACAAAGTTCTTCCACCTCTGAAAGCTCTTAGGAACTAATGGATGAACAGAACAATAATCTCAATTTAAAAACAAAACAAAACCTGTAAGACCAAATAAAAGGTTGCTCTTCCCTGTTTGATGTCTCTGGTACTCTTCAGTGATGCAGAAACAATATCTGGACAATTCCAACAAAGGCTCACTTGCACTGGTAGTTACTTGACCAAGCAATGACACTTGGAGGGAAAAAGATAAACCTGAAATGAACTTGCTAAACAATATGGAGAGGAGCAAATTATATAAAGAAAGTTTAAAGAAGATTTTAGTGGTAGCTCTTGGTTAAAGTGATTGGCGAAGTGTCACACCCCCTTAGAGGCTTCTAAGGTGACCTAGAAGGTCACATTTACTTACAACAGGTCAATTGCTAAGGCATGAAAGTGGCATATCACTGAGCGAATACTCAATAGATTGGCTTATACTCTAAAAGCTGCGTCTTCATCCAGATAGACTAAAGAAATGTGAAAAATGACGATAAATAAATTAGACTGCCATTAGAATAATAAAAAAATCAATGGGATTTTTCCACTCTGGAGATTTAGACTGCCAGCAACAAACGATTAATTTTGTATATTGAAAATATTAAATAGCAGAGTAGAGCTCAATGACTATGTTTGATGGAAGCTGACGATAAGGAACTGGGAAGAAAAATGCCAAAGACCTCATTCAAAGCCATGCCAGCATCGTGACTCTGAAGAATGCACTTAAAGAAGCAAGCAGTAGGTGAATGATAACTCACATTCAGGTTGCATGTAAAAGCAGAGTGAGCCCCTAACAGCTGTGCTGTACCTCGTGCCACCACAAAACTTCCAGCTAGTCTGCACGGGTTATTTTCCACCAGCGAGCCTCCAGCAAGTCTCATGTTCATCAGAGCTACAAACGGCTGTAAGGGCAAGTTATCAGCATACAGCTCTTTGCCACACAAGGTTCTCAGAAGAAAATCCTATGACACTGACTAACAAACAGTGCAGTTCCCTTTCCCCTTCCTCCTATTTTAGGCTCAGGTGAGAGTAGGGTTATTTTCTTATATTTATTTATTTTTTATTTTTTTTTTAAAGCTAACTCTGAACACAATGCCTGGAGCATGAAATGGTGAGATCTCTGTACCATGGGCTGAAGGGGCAGCTGTGGGATGGGGGAATGCGAAACTGCCATCAGTAGCCTCCATCTAGCTGCTGCTGCCCAGTTTGCAGGTGCATATGGAAAATGACTTTTGGGTACATGCAGGCTCACCTCCAGCCACTTCCAAAATTTAGGAGACTGTAGTAATCTCTGCAGGCTATATCAAGCATGATGCATGTCTCTGGGGGTCCATGTAGATAGCCTGTAGATACATGTGGCCCTGCACAACATACTGCTCCCTGTCCTGTGCTCTTTACTTGGTTGCTCTGCTTTTCTGAAACCCAGTGCTAGGTAAAATACCTCGATGCAGAAGTTTCATGCCACACATTTAGATCAGGTCCGGTACCAGCATACACCATTCCGATCATTTCACCAGGAAATTAATCACCGAGTGTACACATTTCTCAAGAGATGTGTTCCCCAGGCCGCCTCCTGCCCTCTATGCTGAACAACAAACACACAAAGCCACCCTGGCCCCCCCTCCCCACCCGCATGCTTTGTTCAGCGATCCATTTTTCTGCACCGCAATGCTAAATCAACGCGCCGAGCAAACCTGGGGCGCTCGTTCCAGCCCGGCGCTGTTTAATGTATGCAATTACGCTAATCTATGGAGAAGGCTGTCAGTGGAAACCAAAGACGAGAGCGTCAGCATTCCAGGCGAACCTACCGCCCCGCAGCCGGCACAACAAAAAAGCTCTTTAACATGCCAAATTGGGCTCCTCTCAGCTGGAGGATTTCTGCTGGCTGCTTCCACTCCGGAGAGAGGAATTGAGGCGACCGCCCCGCAGCTAAACCCATGTGAGGAGGTCAAGCAGGAGGCCAGGAGGCCGAGCCTCCTCGCACCTTGGTGGACTGCCCCAGTAAAGGAAAGGCTCTTGACTGCAGGAAATGAAACTCGGATTGAGATGAAGATAACAGGCACCAGCCTGGAGTTGAGTGGAGCAGGTCTACCATGAGGACGATCTGCAGATAGCACACCCAGCTCAGAAACCACTCGGCCAGCGTCACCCTGCTCCCTAACGAGGTGACCGCTAGGCTTTTTTGTTTAGCTTGGACCACAACTGTACGGAGCTGGCGAGGAGCAGCCAGATGTCACTTCTGCTGCTGCCTCTTCACGTCCCAAGCCAACTCCAAGCCTTTTCTTTCTGCTGCACCTTGATCCCCCCTGCCAGGCGTGATGGTCGCGCTACTCTCACCATGGTGAAGGTGCTCTTGATTTGGCAGCTTTGCTCCTGATTTTTTTTTTTTCAGGAAATAAAAAGCAACATGACAGCACAGTGGATCCTCGCTCATCTGCTGGTCTGTCAAATGACTAGCAGTTGTGGTAAAATAAAGAATCCCAATGTTAAAATGGTCCTTCGTGGACCATTTACGAGATCTTTTAGGACGGCCAGTGTAAGACAGTAACACGCTCTGCAGTTTTCTGCGATGGGTGAGAAAGACCTAGTGTGCCAGCCACTATCTCCTCAAGGAGTGCACTTATTTGCCTGCCTGTTTAAGCACAGATGTAGGCAGTGTCAAGAATAATTCGAAAAGATTAAAACCAGCATGTTAAAAGCTAAAAAAGCCTTAGTAGTATACCTGAGGAAATAAGGCCGGGCGGCTGACACCTCCTCACCACAAAACACACCCCAATTAATTCAGACCAACAACAGGACTCCAGAAGAAGCAAACTTTATCCGCGGGTCTCCCCTGCGTACGGGCAGAAACCAGCCGCCAGAAAAAGAAAGAAAAAGAAAAAAAAAAAAAAAAGAAAAGCCAAAAGGAAGAGGAAGGACCGCACGAGTCGCTTGGGCACCTTCTCACCTCGCCCGCGCCCCCCGCGGACCGGCAGCCCCGCAGCCCCCCCCCCCGAGCCCGGGGCAGGTTCGCCGGGCGCTGGCGGCCGCCTTGCACCAGCCCGGGGGGACCCGGGGCGCAGACCCCTCCCCGCCTCTGGCTTTCCGCGGCAGGGCCGCAGCCGGGGGAGCGGGGCCCCGGGGCCGGGGCCGTGCCGTGCCCCTACCTGTGCGCTCCCGCCGGCCGGCCGGGCGCCGCCGCCTCCTGCCGCGGGGGGCTCCTGGCGAAGAAGCGGGAGAAGGCGCCGTGCCACGAGGGGCCGGCCCGCCGCCGGCTGCCCCCGCCGGACATTGCCGGGACGGGACCAGGACGGGGACGGGGACGGGGACGGGGACGGGGACGGGACGGGAGGCGCCGCCACAGCCGCCCGGCACCGAGTCCCGGCGCTGGCCGCTTCCCCCCGCCCCGCCGGGGGCGGCCCTGCCCGGCCCCGGGGCGGAGCCGCCGCGGTGCCTCCGCCCGGCAGCGGCCCCCGGCAGCGGGGACGCGGTGCGGGAGGCGCGGCCACGGGGCTCGGCGCCTTAATTGGGGAAAAGCAGCCCCGGGAGGAGCCGCGGCCCGCTCGCCGTGCTGGGGGGGGGGGGCCGGCCCCGCCCCGAGGCGCGGCCATTTCCCTGCCTCGCCTCAGGGGAGCTGCGGCCGCCCCCGCTGGGGAAGGTGAGGGACCTGGGGGACGAGGCTCTCCCACCTTTCCAGGAGATTTTTTTTTTGTTGTTTTTTCCTAGAAAGGGAGTTGTGTTTACTGACATCTTCGGTTGATGGCGAGACTTAGGAATCTTCTTCAAGCCGAAGGATGTTGTGATGTTTTTTATCCCTCTGAGGACCGGGGATGGAGTCTCCACAGTCTCTCTGGGCAGCCCCTGCCAGTGCTCACCTCTTTTCTGAAACATTTTTCTCCATTCATTCACCTCAGTCCACCCCCTCTATACCCCAAGGCTTCTGGGCCAGTTTTTTCCTCCACTTTCTTTTGCCACAGTACCAGCCTGCTGGGGCAGCAGCAGCTCAGGCTGGACATGAAGCTTGGGGCCCACCTGCAGAGGAGCAGCAATAAAACAGCCTAGAAATGACCTTCTGGCTACTTTACAGTCTACTTTTCATTGCTTCAGCTGTGAGACAGATCATTAAAATAAATATACAAATGCACAAACAGCTCCTCTTCATATTGTCCAAGTCTCCCATAGCTTTGATCTGGATTTTAAAAGCACAGACACAGGTGAATATTGAACAAATACTTAAGTTTTTACTGGTCAGCAAGTTGAGACTAGCTGGTTGTCTCACAGGTTTGAGAGGCAGCTGTCTTCCCTGTGATAGAAGACTGTTGTCACAAACCTCCCCGAGTGGACCAGCACTTAACACAGCAGCAAGGTCCTGCCTGGCTTTCAGTGTCCAGACAAGGAGCAAACACTTTTCTCAGCGATCCAGGATGCCCCAGACCTAGCACAAATCTATGAAATGTTTCATGCCAGAAAAGTAGCATATATAAATAAATAAAGCACACACCACCACATTTTAAAAGTACCTACACAGTTGCCCATTCTTGGAGAAAGACGATCAGTGGCTATAGCCACAAAATGTAACAGCAACCCCTACAGAACCTTAGAGAGGAGATGTTCTCTCTAATATTCAAAATAAAAGTAATTAAGGCTCAAAAATCAAATTGGAAGACTGACAATTCATTAAAAGCAATTAAATGGAACTGCACGAACAGGCTGTGGTGATGCTTCGGCTGGCAGTGACTCTTTGTTACTTGTAATTCTTTACCACATACATCTCACAGCCTCCCCACCTATTGCCCAAGTAAGATCTAATCCCTAAGCTGTAGCAAACCTGAATATAATAATTAGCACTCATAAAGCACCTGGTACCTCCAAATAATTTAAGCATTAATTGATCCTCATAACCACCTCTGGATGTAGTTAAGTATGGCACTGGTAAGCTGCGCACGCAGGACACGGGCAGCCAAAACATGCACCTGCTCCCCATGGGGCACCTGGGGCAGCAGCGAGGCACTGCCAGGGCCATACCTGCCCAGGAGCAAAGCACCGAAGGCATTAGAAGTGCTCATCCCAAACAGCAGCATTTTGTGCTCCAATCTGTTTTTCCTTTCTGCTTTTCAATGAGATGAAGACAGAAACATAGCATGTGTGACAGCTCTGGCAGAGGCAAAGAAGTAAACTATAATCAAAGTAGTAAAATTATATTGATATATAAAAATAAAAAATAAAAATGAACACAGCCCACATAAGATAACCCATTTCTTTTTGTGTCCCCTGCAGTAATTGAGTACCCCGTGACTTCACAGCAAATAAATCTCCCACATTTAAAAGAGTGAGATAGGAGACGCTGGCAGGTACGCCAAGGGGAACCTGGTTTCAGCCATCCACTCCTTCCACAAAGGGAGACGAGCCAAGGCAGCAGCACGCACTGCATGGCAGGTGGGCTCGCCTTCAGCACCGCTGCCCACACTCACAGCAGCACCCATACAGCAGCCACAGCGGATGGGGAAGCGTGCTCCCTTCTGCCTCGTAGCAGAGAGCTCACATGCAGCCCCCGCAAGATAAAGCTGCACTGCTCAGGGCAGAGGGAAGCCATTATAACACAGCTGAGGAGTGAAAGATTGGTGCAGGAGAGGAAAAAGTCTGGCCAGGGCTCTCCAACTGGTGGCAAGGTGGATTTTTTTGTAGCTTGTCCTGCCTAGGGTTTCACATGAACCAGCATCTCAAGTAAGGGAGGAGGGGGTGCTGCACCTGTGCCTCATCCACTCATTTTCTGCTGCAATACAGACTATAAGGGTTAGGGAAGCCTCCCCCTTCTCCTTGCTGCTTTAGAATGAGCAGAGGGTGAAATTTTAATTATGCTTTTTGCATTCCCTGCCTTTTAAGGGTCTTTAAAATCTTGAGTGAAATCTTTTGTTTTGTTTGGATACCAAAAAGGAAAGCAAGCTTTCATCACGCTTGTTTATGAGGAGCCCTTCTCTCACACACATCTTTAAGCTTTTTTCTGATATATTGAAGTGACTAAGGATGAAATGGAGTCTTTAAACCACCAAGCTACACATCTTCCCTGCAAGCACATTTTAGCACAACATATTAAATAATACAAAAAACAAATAAACCCCAAACCACAATATTTTCAATCTGTTTGCATTGTTGCTCCACTACAATAAGAAATGTTCATATGGTTTGAGATACAGCGCTCTAAAGTGGGAGCACAGTTCGCTTTTCTTTTTCATACACGTCTAATGCATTTATGTATAAAAGTATTTTGGCTTTTTTTTTTTTTAATTTAATAGGCAACCCAATTTTACAGGCTCTTACAAAATATGTCTGCATTGCTCAAACCACAATAATGGGTGCTCTTTAACTTTTTTCCTTTCCAGTGTATAATATATTAGAACTAGCTTTCTAATAGGTTGCATGGGACCATGAATTAATATGCACAGTGGAGTCATTACATGCAATATTTCATGGTCTTTTTTGAGAATATTAATTCTCAAATAATGAAAAAAATACTGATGACTTTAAAGGCTCCAATCTGTGCCTATTCTAAAGTGAAGACACAACAGAATTGAAGACTTGTGTCTTGGATATATTATGACCCAGATGAAGTACGTTACCAAGGATTCCTAGGATATACTGTCTATCTAGCTATGACCTTTTGTTGTAAAGCATGCACTGCACAGCTTCCAGCAATCCTCATCCTTTAACTGTGAGCACGCTGTTCCTCCATTTGATTTGCTGAAAATGGTTTGAAAGAAAGACACACATGGGCAGCTGCTATTGTTCAAATGCCTTGGTGTTTGGAGAAGATGGCTGGAAATGGCTCGTGGTATTAACTGCAGTTACTGAGAGCCATAACTGTATTCTTTATAATTTTGGAGAAGACTTATTCAGTGTAGTAATTCAAATTTTTAAAATGACTTTTCAGAAGCCCTCTTCTTTTTGTTCTCCATACTATAATTTTTGAAGTTTACATTTACTATGTAGCAGAAATACTAGAACAGAAAATTGTAAAGAACAACATAAAATTGACCAGCACCTACAGGAGCTCTTTTGGGGGCAGACTTTCACGGTGCCTGAGCACAGAGCAAAAAGGATTCAAAATCTCATTTTTCAGTGGTACTTATGTATCCAGCTCCTCTAGATAAGAACCAAAGTTATTTTCTGTTAATCTCATCAGAACTGGTAACTTTCAGATAATTAGAACAGCTTGTCTGGAAGGGTTTCCAGACGTTTTGGATAGCACCTCATATCAATTGCACTTGTGTGAATACAATGATGTAACTCATTTGTGCTCTTACTGGTGCTAATTATTGCAAAATACTCTACCCTAAATGAAGCTCAAAAATTCAGCATTTTATATAACAAGGTCACTGTTAAACCATCTTGTTCTGGGCAACACCTCCTTGCTAAGACTGTCTATCCACCATCGCCTCAAGAAGAAAAATTGTGATGAAATGAAGTCCTTCAGCAAGCTAGTTTCATCCACCGTCTAATATATGTAGTATACACGGAAAAAAAGCAGCACAAGTAATTTAGCACCCACAAGACTGCAGGAGATTATACGAAGAGATGTCTGATATGCTAATAAAGGAAATCCATGAAACGCATGATCAGCAAGTTCTACACTATAGTTCATTTAGCACTTTTCTTCCTAGAATGTCTTTTGACTATCAGATTTGTGAATATAGACTTTCCTGTACAAAACTACATGCTATCAAATACCACATCATATTACTAATATTTTAAAGGCTTACCCTATTTGCATACATATATGTAAAAGTACATCTTTCACTTTGCAGATTACTAAGCAGTTCTGAATTCTGGTATAAGCCTACTTACAGCGAACAAGCCTGTGGACACCAGATTTGCCTTTTAGCTACCTTTCAAAGACTTCTTAAAATTAGCCATTGGACCCTGTGACTCCATAGAACCACTGACTAAAAAACACTGTCAGAGATATACCAATTCCTTTGTCTATTCTGCTAGATTTTTTTTTTAAACACAGAATACTTTTTATCCCAACGCCCTTTATACAACACCATTCAAAATGTTTGAAAAATTAGAACATATACCACAAGAGATAAACCTTAAAGACACAGCAAGTACAAGGAATAGAATACTCCAAAAGGAAGAATCATCTTTATTGTCTGGAGGAATACACTGCAAAGTATTCTTGAAGAGTGCAAGCAAACCAATCTCTAACACGTACAATCCTCACCAACTCAAGCTAAACAGGATCACAAAAACTTTTTGGCTGCAAGTATTGCAGAATCCCATCTGGCTTCATGGAACAACTTAGTTTCCTGTCTATTTCACTTCAGCTTCCAGAAAAAGAACTTTTTTTTTTTTATGGATTCAAAGGAGATCTACAGATTAATACAAACAGATAGCAAAT